GAGGAGGAGGAGGAGGAGGAGGAGGAGGAGGAGGAGGAGGAGGAGGAGGAGGAGGAGGAGGAGGGCCTGCTTTTCGTCCCGAGTCGTTTTGTTGACGGCCCCGCCTCTTTTCGGGAGTGGCGGGGAATTGGCCCCCCCCATCTTTTCGAGACGCCAGCGCCCAGGGGTGAACGCCAGCGACCCATTTGGTGCAATTCCACCATTTCGAGACGCCGGCGCCTGGCTTTTTTGGTTTCGGTCTGGAGATTGCGAAGGCCTTGCGGCCCGTGCTGCCGACCCTGAAGGGGGATGACGACGACGGCGGCGGCGGCGGCGGCGACGACGACGACGCTGACGTGGGCCAGAGTCCTCAGGGATGCTTCTTGGGGTCTCTTCGGAAGGCTTTCGGGGGCCTCCGGGGAGGAATTTTGGTGGGAGCCTCTTAGGCGCCTCCCGAGCAATCGCAGAGCTTGCTCGCAGTTGTTTGATACTCTGGGTTGTCCAATGCACGAGTCCAGCACCTCGAGGGCGCCGAGATCGCTTCACAGTGCAGCTGTGCCCCCTCTGCGCCCCCCGCGGGCCCTCTCCGCCGCAGGTGCTGCGGGCGGACGGGCTGGCGCTGAGGTTCGCGCCCGAGCATGTCGGGGCCCCGGAGTCGCGGGCCGGGCCCGGTCGTCGCAGGACGCGTCTGGGGGGGGGGGGGCGACGACACAGATGGGGGGCAGCGAGGGCTGCAGAGCGGGGCCCTCCTTGGGGCCCCCGAAGGGGATCCTTTTTTGGGGCCCAGAGAGGGGCCTTTGGGGCCCGAGCAGAGCATCTTTCTCCCCCCCCCCCCCAGGTTTTTTTTTGGGGGGGGGCCCAGAGAGGGGCCTTTGGGGCCCGCGAAGAGCATCTTTCTCCCCCCCCCCCCTCGCTTGATGTCGCCCCCCGTGGATTCTCGCGCCCCAGGTCGAGGGGTCCGCACGGCCGGGGCGGGAGCGAGCGGGGGAGGTCCGCGGGCGACACGTGTTCGCCGAGCGCGCTGCACTCGGGGGGTTGACCCAAAAGGGGGTCCAGCGACAGGGGGGTGGTGCAATAGATTTGGTGCAATAGATTTGTGGGGTTGCAATACATTTGAGGTGTGCTATACATTCTGGGGCGCAAATGTATTGCTGGACTTTCGCGTGCAATGAATTACTTGCAATACAATGCAATACAATTCTCTGGCGCAACACATTTGCAATACAATTGCCCCAAATCTATTGCACCACCCCCTTTCAGCTGGACCACCTTTTGGGTCACCCAAATCCACTACTCGCAGAGTGCCTGCTCGCAGACGTCCGAACAAAAAACACACACATGTCTGATTCGATGTAATTCATCGTAGATCCCCCGCGGGGGATCCAGGCCATCTGCGAGCACTTTTGAGTCGGGCTTGTCCCTCTACAGGAGGGATATTCAAAAATAGTGAAACAATTGTCGGGGGACGATGTTTTGAGCATTTTTCAACCATTTTGGGGCATTTTTGCATTTTTTCCGCCTAAAATCGGCCTGTAGGGGGACAGGCCCGAGTTAAGTCCAGAGGTTGACACCAAAACCAATATCGGCGGTGTGCCTCCACCGAGGGGAGAAGATCCCGATCTCGGTGATGATGGTAATATTCGGGCTTCCAAGGTGGCCGAGACATTACCACCAGCACCGAAATCTAGGATCGTCTTCCCCCCTGTGGAGGCACCCCCCTGTGCTGGTGTTGGTGCCAATTTCCAGGCCTCCAAAGACATGATGCGACGCACAGGCGCCGCTCTCGCAGGGAGGAAGGGAGGAGGAGGACCTCGAACGGGTGGCGAGGGTAGGCCTCGGACTTCGCCGCCGAGGCGTGTCTCTGCCAAACCGCAGCCGCAGAAGTCCTGACCCCTCTCTGCACGGTTTCCCCAGGGGCAGTAGGCGACCCGAGGAGGAGGAGGAGGAGGAGGAGGAGGAGGAGGAGGAGGAGGAGGAGGAGAAGGAGGAGGAGGAGGAGGAGGGGAGGGGAAGGAGGAGGAGGAGGAGGAGGAGGGGGGGAAGAGCATCCTGGACCCTTTCTCCCCGATCCTCGGGCCTGCGTCCTCCTGCCTCGCCGCTCCTCGATGTCCTCGATGGTGTTAAAAGTCGGTCCCATTCCTCTACTGGAGGAATGTTCCAAAATATTTAAATGAGCCTGACGAAAGACCCAACCATACGTAGTTGTGAATACCGCAATTGTGGATATATTCTTCGGTGGCGCCCCCGGGCCACGAAACGAGTGAGGGGTGTGCCGAAATGGGGGGGTGGAACCGCATGCGAGCGCAGCCACTGGGGCGCTCGGTGGAGCTCCCTATTCCTCTACTGGAGGAATGTTCCAAAATATATAAACAATCGTCTGGGGACGATTTTTGGACCATGTGTGAACCTTTTTTTGGTATTTATTCCGGGTATTTGTGAGTTTTCGTCCGAGATCCCCCTGCAGGAGAACATGCCCGACCTAAAGACAGTGCTCCCCCCCGAGCCTCGGTCCTCGATCCTCGGCGCCCCGGATGCCTCCCCCCCCACCCCCCGAACCTCGATGCCCGGCCTCCCACCCTCGACCGACCCTCCTCCCCGAGCCCGGGGGCGGCAAAGAGGAGGGTGATGACCAGGGGGGGGGAGGTGGATATCGTGGCGGGGGCCCTGATATTTCCCCGGATGTCCTGGCGCCTCTTCTCATCTCATGACGTCCCTGGCCCCCCCCGCTGGGCCGCGCACGTGCCGCCGGTCAGGAGGAGGAGGAGGAGGAGGAGGAGGAGGAGGAGGAGGAGGAGGAGGAGGAGGAGGAGGAGGAGGAGGAAGAGGAGGAGGAGGAGCCATGGTGCAGCTGGACATCGACAACGCTATCATCGTGGACCACGGGCACAAGAACTCCAAAGGCGAGTCCCGCATCCGTCTTGTCGTGAAGCCCCTTCCGGTTTTCTTCGAGTGCTTCTCTGGTACGCCGCCGGCCATGCGTTCTGCGGTGGAGGAGGGCTCCGAGCGCCAGACGCACGCCGAGTCCATCGGTCCAGTCCTGGCGCACGAGAAGGGGGAGTCGTCCAGAGAGCAGCTGCCTGTTGCAGGTGGCGCGACTGGTTCGGGCTCTGTGGCGATGGAGAGCAAACCCTGTGCAAAGGCAGAGACTGATATTGATGTGGTGAGGCCCCAGCGTCACGGAAAGGCCACTGCTCCTCAGCAGCACAGCGAAAAGCACACATTCGCTCCAGGCATGGCCGCGCGCCTTGTTGGCCTCGAGGCCAGGCCGCTGCTAAATGGTCGTGAAGGCACCCTTAGCTTCTACGACGACGCTGCTGACCGCTGGGCTTTCAAGACTGGTGCTGAGGCCATTCGTGTCAAGGCATCGTGTCTTGAGCCTATCGGCTCCTATACGAAAAAGTCTCTCGGCATGGCGTTCCAAACGGCCGCCTTCGAGCATCAACATGTAGACCCAGTTGCTAACGACCAGGTGTTCCAGCTGTTGTGCGACCTTGCTGCTCGAGAAGGGCAGCCTGGGGTGGCCGCTCTCTTCCTGCCTTTATTCGGCGACAAGACAGCCTTCGACAAGATGTACTGCCGCATGGCCGCCGGGAGTCCTGATATCGCCTACCAGTGGGTGGCGCTTAGCTGCATTCTTGGTGTGCCAAGTGCATCCATTCTTTGTGCCCTCATACGCCATTCCTTGCGCCCCGCGTCGTCCGTTGGGTTGCGCTTCTAGTCATGGCTGCTTGCGCCCCCATGTATGTTGGGGTTGCGCTTCCCGTCAAGGGTTCTTGTTTCATGTGCTACTCGATCCTTCGGGCGAGTGCAGTGTTGCCAGGTTCTTGCGGGCTAGATTCGGCTGCGTCTCTCGTGCACGTGTGGGCACCACAGACGTTCGTTTCCTAGGGCTGTAGGAAGAAGAAGGAGGAGGAAGAGGAGGAAGAGGAGGAGGAGGAGGAGGAGGGAGGAGAGGAGGAGGAGGAGGAGGAGGAGGAGGAGGAGGAGGAGGAGGAGGAGGAGGAGGAGGAGGAGGACCCCCCCCCTCTTGGACCCCCCCCTCTCGGCCCCTCCCGACGATCCTCGGGCCCCGCTCCTCGAGCCCTGGCTTCCGAGGGGAGACCAGGGGCACGGGGGAGTACGGCAGGTTCGCGTCGTGCCGACCGGCGGCGACTCCGCCGGCGGCGTTCGACGACGACGACGCCGACGACGACGACGACGACGACGACGACGGCGGCGGCGGCGGCGGCGGCGGCGGCGGCGGCGGCGGCGGCCGCCGCCGGCGGCGACCACGCTGAACGCCGCGGGCGACCCTAAAACGACACGAAGATCGGGATAACAAAATCGGATCGGGATGACTCGAAGTTTCTGAGGATCGGCGGGTTTGGAGGTCGTATCGGGCGCCGCGGCCGCTCCAGAGCGTGCCGGAGCGCTCCGAGAGCGCTCCGTGGAACTTTGGATCGATGCATCCCAACCCTAGCCCTGGTTTGCAACGCCGCGGGCGACCCAGAATCGTTCGATGTGGAACGGTTTGGACGTTTCGGAAGGGCCGATCGTTCAAGGTGGAGCGAGCCCTGCGGTGTCAGGAACCAGCGCCGGAGTCGGCACGGCACGGGCCCGACGTACCGCGGGTATCTTGAGGGAGCGCCGAGGCCTCTCGGACCCTCTGTTCCCGCCCTGTGGGCCACCTTGGCTTGGGGACCGTCTTGGAGGCCGCCTTGGGCCGTCTTGGTCATTTGTAGGGGAACGTTGTACGACAGAAGCGTAAATAGCTCGGACCTCAGAGTTTTCATGTTTATGCCATTCTTCGTTCCCCTGAATCCTGCGATGTCAGCGCTCGCCGACGTCGCCAAAAAAAACGCCTCAGTCACGCACCGTTCTAGACTCGAAGGCCCCACGATCGCCTTGGTCTCCTCGATCCTGATCTCGGTCGGAAAAAGATGGTGCGACGACCTGTGCAAGTATTTGCAGATACACGGTTTCCAAGCTACGTTAGAGAATTGGTACACCATTCTTCGAGACAGCGACATCCATCATCTGCAAGAAGGGTTCGTCGAGAGTGCGCACTGAACGCTGCGGCGCTGCATGCCCATCCCCGCAGTTCGGACAGCGTTCGCTGTAGTGTGGCGTTCATTCGTTCGTTCGTGGAATTTTCGTGAGCTCCCGGAGGCCTCCAGAGGTCTCTGGGGGCCCTGGGAGCCCTCCGGAGGCGTCCGGGGGATCTCAGGAGACCTCTCGCGTGTGGGGGGGGCGGTCTGGGACGGATTTTTAGGGAGTCCTGGAAGTCCCACTGCGTGATCGTTGCCTGCCCCTTCATTCCTCCTGCTCCCTACCCCCGCGCCTCGCTTCCTAATCCTCCTGGTCCTTCTCCTCCAGGTGATCCTCTTCCTTTTCCACCGCCACCGCCACCTCCTCCTCCTTCTCCTGCTCCTCCTCCTCCTCCTCCTCGCCCTCCTCGTCCTCCTCCTCCGCCTCCTCTCCCTCCTCCCACTCGCTTCCTCTATTTCACTGAGAGAGTCGCCTCCAGCAAGTCGGGTTGCCAGGGGATTCCTGCAGTTGCCCACAGGAGCCCAGGGTCGTCGAGACCGCCCCCGTGCTCAGCGCGCGCTGTCGCCGACCCCAGCTGACGTCGAGCTCGCTTGAACGTTCCCCTCGCACTGCGGCCCATCTGGTGAAGGCTTGCACTGTGGATGAGCGCCGTGCACTGGCGAGGAGCCTGCGCGCCACGCCGCACGGGCGCGGTCGCGGGCAGCGAAGCGCGCCGCCGATCCGACGGCTCGGCCAGGGGGGACTGCCGCGCGGAGGTCCGGTGCAACAGGAAGGCGGTTTTGGAGGCGCGCGCCCCATGTCTCCTGTCGTCATCGCTGAGTTTGCATGACGGAAGGATGGTTATTAGTGATCCCCCCTCCAGGGCAGAAGTTGAGTTTTTTCAGTGGAAGTGCCCTTCCCATGGCCTGCACCTTGCTTTTTATCAGGGAGGGTTTCGGGTTTCCGAACCGTGTCGGCCCCCAGTTTGCAACGACAGCGGCTCCCGCCTGATGCTTCCTCACAGTTTCTGCCGAACTCGCGCGGGACTCCCACACTTAATCAATACAGGAATCGCGCTCTCGCGTGAGACTTCCTCACAATTTATTCAGACGCCGCGCCCTCGACACTCGGGAGTCACGCTCTCGCTGTGGATTTCCTTACGCTTTATTTGGGAATCGCGCTATCGCTCGAGCTCTCCTCGCGATTCATGCAGGACGCACGCTTCAGCAACCCGCCCGCTCGACCTGGCCGCCTGGGCCCGCCTTCCCGACCCGCTCGTTAGGGTCTACCCGCCCGATGGGCCCGTCTGGTTCTGCCACGTGTTTTTTGCTCGCAGCCCCCCTGCTGTTCATCCCTTGCTTCATCCTTCTCCCTCTCCCTTCCATCCGTCCTTTTTATGCCTCTTTCAGGGGCTGCACCAATAACGCGCGGCAGGTAAGGAAGATATACCCCCATGGGGGTTACGATCGAAAACGAAAGGGCGGGTACCGAGGGTTTGGGATATACGTGTTGCGTGGCCCGCGAGCAGGTAAGAGCGAACAGTCATGAAATTATTGTTATTGTTGTTGCACTCAGGAACGGCGCTCCCGCTCGGGATTTTCGCGCGATTCAGTCAAATTTGTGGAGGCCCAGCTATGACGACAAGGGCTCTCGCTCGATACTTCCTCAAGGTGTATTCCCAGAGGCCCTGACCAGAGATGTCCCCGAACTCAAGAGTGGCGCTCTCGCTCGGCACGTTCTCGTAATTCGGGTCAGTTGGTGGAGGCCCAGACATTGCGACAAGGGTTCCCGTTTGATATTTCTCAATATGTATTCCGATCCGAAAGACCCTGGCTAGAGAGGCCCCCGAACTCAGGAACAGCGCTCTCGCTCGAGAGCACCTCGCCCTTCACTCAGTGGCCGACAAGGAAGATATTGCCCCTCGAAAGGGGGTGCGATCGAAGACGAAATGTGCGGGTATCGAGGGCCAGGGTATACAACATGCAAGACACGCGTGCCAGTAAAAGCGAACAGTCTTATTCTACTTGTTTTTGTTGTCGTTGCTGCTGAACTCTCAGTATTGAAGAATGATTATTGTTGATCTTTCCCATCCGATGCACATTGTAGTTTTTTCGATTGAAGTGCCCTCCCGGCGCTCGCATCCTTTTTTTAATCAGGGAAAGTCTTCCTCCTCAATCTGTGCCCCTGGCCCCCGGTTTACAACAACAACGGCTCCCGCTTGATACTTTCTCGAAATGTACTCCGGTCCCCCGATCCCGCTTGAGACTTCCTCGCAATTTACTCAAGAATCGCGCTCCCGCTGAGACTTCCTCGCACTTTACTCAGGCGCCGCGCTCTTGCCATTCAGGAATCGTGCGTTCGCCGGGGAAATCTTCAAATTTACTTAGGAATCGCTCCCTCGCTGGAAACTTCTTGGCTAATCGCGCAGAACTCACGATCGATCTGCCCGCTCGGCCCGCCCGCCAGGGTCATGCCCTCAGTGCCCCATGCTCGCTCGCGCCCTTTGTGCCTCATTGCTTCCCTTCGTGGCCCCTCTCCTTGTGGCCCAGTTGCTGCCCTTCGTGGCCCCGCTGCTGCCCTCAGTGGCCCCCTCGCTGCCCTTTGTGGCCCATATATACGCCCTTCGTGGCCCCCAGTCGCTCGTGCCCTCAGTGGCCTTATTGCTGCCCTTCGTGGCCCCGCCGCTGCCCTCAGTGGCCCCCTCGCTGCCCTGTGTGGCCCATATATACGCCCTTCGTGGCCCCCAGTCGCTCGTGCCCCCAGTGGCCCCATTGCTTCCGTTTGTGGCCCCAGTGTAGCCCCGTGTGCCTCCCCTTCGCAGCCCTCAGTGGCCCCCTCGCTACCCTGTGTGGCCCATATATTCGCCCTTCGTGGCCCCCAGTCGCTCGTGCCCCTCAGTGGCCCCGTTGCTGCCCGTCGTGGCCCCAGCGTAGCCCTTCGTGGCCCCCGCCTGACTGCCTGTGACGGCAGGCCCGGCGGCTCGCTTGGAAGCTCGCCGGGTGCATTCACGTCCCTCACGCCCGACCCGCCCGTTAGGGTCCGCCCGCGGGTCTGCAGGCCCCGCCCGCTCGACCCGCCCGCTGAGGACCGTTGCCCGACACAACCGTCCGGGTCTGCCGCTTGTTTTCCGGATCCCCTCTTAAGCCAACCACCTTCTAGTCTCTCTCGTCCGCAGTTTTGCTCCCTCTCTCTTGTCCTTTGCCTCCCTCCCCCCACTCCTTTCCTCCTCGCTTTCTCTCTCTCTCTCTCTCTCTTTTTTGTTTTTTGTTTTTCCCAACCATCCTGTGGTGTTGGGTCCTCGTTTTGAAGAGACGGTGCCCCGCGTTCCTCTCCTCCTTCCTCCCCCCCCTCCTCCCTCCTCCCCCTCCTCTTCTCTCTTCCGTCAGAATGATCATCTGCAGCATCATCCTCATCCACATCCTCATCCTCATCATCGTCTTCATCATCGTCCCCACCGCCCATGTCGTCACACCCCTCACACGTTTCGTGGCCCCATAGGGAGCTCCACCGAAGGTCCCACTGGGGGCGTTCGCATGCGTCTCCCCCACCCAGGACAGCGTTTCGTGGCCCCATAGGGAGTTCCACTGAAGGTCCCAACAGGGGTGTTCGCATGCGTCTCCCCCACGCAGGACAGCGTTTCGTGGCCCCATACATAGGAAGCTCCACCGAAGGTCCAGTAGGGGTGTTCGCATGCGTCTCCCCCACCCAGGACAGCGTTTCGTGGCCCCATAGGGAGCTCCACCGAAGGTCCCACTGGGGGTGTTCGCATGCGTCTCCCCCACCCAGGACAGCGTTTCGTGGCCCCATAGGGAGCTCCACCGAAGGCCCAAGTGGGGGTGTTCGCATGCGTCTCCCCCACCCAGGACACTGTTTCGTGGCCCCGTAGGGAGCTCCACCGAAGGTCCCAATAGGGGTGTTCGCATGCGTCTCCCCCACGCAGGACAGCGTTTCGTGGCCCCATAGGGAGCTCCACCGAAGGTCCCAGTAGGGGTGTTCGCATGCGTCTCCCCCACCCAGGACAGCGTTTCGTGGCCCCATAGGGAGCTCCACCGAAGGCCCAAGTGGGGGTGTTCGCATGCGTCTCCCCCACCCAGGACAGCGTTTCGTGGCCCCATAGGGAGCTCCACCTAAGGTCCCAGTAGGGGTGTTCGCATGCGTCTCCCCCACCCAGACAACGTTTCGTGGCCCCATGGGGAGCTCCACCGAAGGTCCCACTGGGGGTGTCATTTCGGCACACCCCTCACACGGTGGCTCCATAGGGAGCTCCACCGAAGCCCCAGTGCCCGCGGCCGCATGCGTCCCCCACACCCATTTCGGCACACCCCTCACACGTTTCGTGGCTCCATAGGGAGCTCCACCGAAGGCCCCAGTGCCCGCGGCCGCATGCGTCCCCACACCCATTTCGGCACACCCCTCACACGTTTCGTGGCTCCATAGGGAGCTCCACCGAAGGCCCCAGTGCCCGCGGCCGCATGCGTCCCCCACACCCATTTCGGCACACCCCTCACACGTTTCGTGGCTCCATAGGGAGCTCCACCGAAGGCCCCAGTGCCCGCGGCCGCATGCGTCCCCCACACCCATTTCGGCACACCCCTCACACGTTTCGTGGCTCCATAGGGAGCTCCACCGAAGGCCTCAGTGCCGCCGCCCGCATGCGTCACCCCCACCCATTTCGGCACACCCCCCGCATTTCTCGCACGGCAGGGTCATCACCACGGTGGCGTGCCAGGGGCGCACCGTGCGCGAAGGCGACGGGGCGGGGGAACGGCGCTCCGGGGGCGGCCAGACCTCCGGGGCGCGAGCAGTCCGCGGCCAGACCATCTCTCGGTCCTGTGGACTCTCGCCCTGGGCCGTCGGCTGCCCGGCGCGCTGCTCCCTCGGTCGACGTCGCCCAGGCGTGATCCTGGATTGCGGCCGCCACGAGGTAGGGAACGGCAAGAAGGAGGACGACGACTGGTGGCTGGAGCTCTACGTGCTGCTCTCGCGCGCCACGCGCCACGAGGACCTCCTGCTCATGCGGGCGCCGCGCATCGAGTTCTTCCTGGCAGGGCCGCCGCAGGGCTTGCGGAAGCAGCTGGAGCAGTTTGCGGCGCGCACGAAGCGGTGCAGGAGGGAAGCGACGGCCCTCGCCAGGGAGCTCGGCTTCACCGAGTTCATCCGCGAGGCCTGACCTGAGGAGCGTCTCCCCCGAGCCGCGCCTTCTCTCGACTGCCCGACTAATTGTTTGGCCTCGCGCCGCGGACAACCCGCGCGCGTCGCTGGGACCCTCTCGGGGCGACCAGCGCGCGTCGCGGGAACTCCGTGCTGCGGGGGGCCCGGCGCCTCGTTCGCCCGTCGTCGCTCTGCCCAGCGGTCAGAGACTTGCCCGCTATCAGCCAGCCAGTTAGCTAGTCAGCTCTCTCTGCTTCGCGCAGCGGACGACCCGCGCGCGTCGCTGGGACCCCGCCCGGGGCGACCAGCGCGCGTCGCGGGGACTCCGCGCTGCGCTGCGCCCGCAGCCTTGGATTTTGGAGTGCGCGGGCAAAGAGGAAGGAAAAGAAGAGCCGAAAGCGGGCGCGATCCTCGCAAGAGGCGTGCCGACATGGGCGTCGCGACGTGCGGACGCTGCCGTCGGGGTTCCCGCGGAAGCTGCCTGCGGCGGCCACGCCCAGTGTCACGTGTGTTCGGACAGGCATGCTCGACACTTACACTAGGCGGTTCCATGATCGCATTCATGCAAATATATTCACTCGCGCGCAGACCCATTCATACTCAGATTCCCTCGCGCTCTGACTCACCCGCGTTCTTTCTCTCGTAATCAGATCAA